GGAGTGGGGAGGGAGGGGAAAAATGAGGACCTAATGTCGGGGGCTTAAGTGGAGAGAAAATGTTTTGAGAATGAAGTACAAATGCGCTTTGCACAATTGATGTGTGTATGGATTGTGATAAGAGTTGTATGAGCCCCTAATAAAATGTTTAAAAAAAAAAAAGAACTGGAAAAAGAAAGATTTGTAATTTTGAGTGGAAAAAAAAGCCAAAGGCAAATTGATTTTGGCCAGGTATTCTTTAACGTAAATATTTGGTTTTCAATAAAACTCCAGAATCAAAGCAAGATATTTGTTACCAATTTCTCTCTTACAGTAACTCACTCTCTCACTACCATTGAGTCGATCCTGATTCATATTGACTGGTAGAACTGCCCAGTGGGTTTCTTAGACACAGTAACTGTTTGTGGGAGTAGAATGCCCTACCTTTCACCCGAGAAGCAGCTGGTGATTTCAGACTGCTGACCTACTAGCAGCCCAGCTGCACCATCCCAGTCCTCTCTGACAAGTCACCTCAAGTAGGAAGTTGCCCTGCTTTCCCACTGCAGTGTCCTAAAAAGAAACAGCTTCTGATTCATGCTGTTGTAGGGTGTCATGCAGTCAGTTCTTGTGTGGCCAATGTACCTGCCCCATGGGGTTTCCTAGCCTGTAATCTTTAGGGAAGCAGACCCCCAGGCCTGGAGAAGTCACTGGTGGCTTCCAACCTCAGACTTTTCTGTTTGGTACAGTACTGAGCACTTAACCTAGGCACCCCTAGGTGCTGTCTGTTGTCCATCCTGATGTGGAGATTTTTGTTTTCTCCATCTGGCTTCATTTTACTTTCTCAGCAGAGTTGAAGAACATTAATAACATATCTTACTTTGGTTTTTGAGGGTTGTTTTGTTTTGACCTCAAGAGACCAAAGATTAGCCCTGAAAAATCTGATCCAAACTGCCAAAGCCTGCCAGGAACTGTTCTATAGATAGCAATGTAAATCTGCCTTGCCCTGCTGGAAAAAGATAACGTTATCACCTAATTTAAATCTTTGCAAAGTATCTAGGCTGCTGGTGGCTGGAGGTTCTGAATTTGAGTCTATAGAGTTTATAGCAGGATCCCTGGTGGCATAATGGCTATGTGCTGGGATGAAACCATCAGCTGCTTCGGGAGAAAGCAAATAAACAGTTCCGTAAATAAACAGTTACAGTGTTTGCAAACTCACGGGGCAGTTCTGCCCTTCCTACAAGTCCTTAGCAGTAGGCATTAACTCGATGGTAATTGAGTTTGGGGCGGCGGGTTTGCTTTCTACTGTACCTACATTCTCCACTGTACCTACATTCTTCAGGCTACTTGTTTTTTTACGGAATCAAAAGCGGTTCCCGTTATGCACCTGGAATTGTTGCTCAGAATGAATGTGTCGTGTTCAAATTTCTGTAGGTTTTGATTATTTTTAACAGCAGTTACAGATGAACCTTCAAATCACAAGTAGCCCTTCTCTCAAGGCCTCGTGGACGTCCGTCCATCCGCCTTCCTCTTATTGTGGAACTCACGCTTCAGCCAAGACAAAGGCTCGGTCTCAGGGTCGAACTCGCCTCTTTTCCTCCCGGTAACCTTTCAAGCGTCCCGCCTCCGCAGCCCCGTCCAGTGCGGCGCGCCCTCCCGAAAGGCTCCGGGGCAGAGGCCACGCCTCGCGGGGCGGGGCCAGGGGCCAACGGCCTTCGCTGGCGCGGGGAGATGACATCACAGAGGCGGCCCGCGCGTCTTCGGTGGCTCTGCTCTGCATTTGTCTCCGGCGCTGGGTGAAACTCGCTCTGCGAGCCAGCTGCGTCCATGGCCATTTGTCAGTTCTTCCTTCAGGGCCGGTGCCGCTTTGGAGACCGGTGCTGGAACGAACACCCGGCCAGGGGGTCGGGCGGGGGACGGCACCAGCCCCAGCAACAGCCCTCAGGTGAGACGGAGCCCTAAGTCCTCCATCGTTCGTGTAACCGGGGAAGAGGAGGAAGTGGGGGCGGGGGCGTTCCAGCAGGCGGGAACGGGCAGCGTGCGGGGCCTGCCTCCGAGCCCCCATGGTTGCCGCCGGTCTGCCGACCCTTGACTCGAAGGCCGCACGTGGCCGGCCTCCGCCCGCCCTGCGCGGCCGAGAACGCAGTTTCTATTGGGCTCCCAGACGCGTCGTTGGTGTTGGTTGGATGGAGGAGGGCGGGAAGTTTGATGTCGGGGAGTACAGAACAACGAACGTGCAATCGCGGGCGGCATCAAAATGCCTCGTCTGCAAAGGGGCGGTATTCCGGATTACGTAGCAAGAACCAGAATCTGCCATTTGTTGTTGTTACCCTCGTGTGTATATAGTATTGAGCACTATATACCTTGAGCACTCGTATATGGTATTTTAAAAACCTCGAGGGAGAGGCCGCTTTGTCCCGAATCAGTTCTTTGGGGGAGACGTGAACGCGTTTGAAAATCTGATAAACCATGCGGTCGGGGCCGCCCCTTGGATGCACCGAAGTGCTGCAGCCAAAGGAAATGCTCGGCGTAAATACAGAGAACCCAGGGATTTACGAGAACATGCTGACTGGGTGGCATTTATAAAATGAAGCTTTCACAGATACGTTACATAAACGTTACCTAAGAATTAGGATAATTTAACTGCTTATTCTGTGGATATTTGAAGAGCCCGCATGAATGAATGCTTTTCTTGGGAGCCTGCTGTGAGCGGAAGTGGGAGGACAGCGTGTCTGAAGGCTTCCTGAGGTATTCTGGCTAAAATACGCAGTAAAGAGAAGGGGGTGGGGGGGTGGAGTATGACCTGTGGCTTGGCAGAAACCCAGTTCGTTTGAGCTTCACACACTAGACCAGTTGTGGGGTGATGGAAAAGTAAAGTGCGCTCATCAAGAGACCGAGAGACCAGACTTGAAGCTGCACTTTAAGGGTCACACGACAAAGGTCAGGTTTTGCTTTCTTAGAGAACAAAGTGTTTCCAGTGAAGCCGTTCAGCTGACCCTGAGACTGCCTTGTGATCTCATGCTTATGATGCTTCTTGAAGGCAGCCCTTTTGTGTTGTCCACAGTTATTCTAACAAAATATCCCAAATCAGAAATTCCGATGGTAGAAATTCACTCTGACCAGTAATTAGGAAGTTGAATTGTGGCTGCGAACAAGGGTCTGGGGAATCTGCCAAAGACCAGGTGGGTTGGGTTTATTTTGCCAGCATGAGACAGAAACTCCTGTGTATCCCGTGAAAATCAAGCAAGTTACAGACCCCTGAACTATGTGGCAAAAAGCAGGTTTGGTGGTGATCACGGAAGCACTGTGCTCTATTAGGGTACATCCTCCCTGGCTACCTATCTGAATGGCCTTCCCTCCAAGCTGCTGGTGGTTTCAAACTAATGACCCACTACTAGCAATCCAACATAACCAGAGCTCGTAAAATGGAATAGCACCTACTTAAAAGTTTGCTCAAGTAGAAAAAAAAAATTTTTTGGATATGTTAATGGCAATATATGTACAAGTGTGCTTAATACAATTGAATGATGATGGGTTATCATAAGTTTTCAAAGAACCCCCCAATAAAATGTTTTTTAAAAGTTTGGTAGTTACTCAAATTAAACATTAAGCTGTTTATGATTTAGGATGTATGCCAATCCACTTACATGCCTTATTGTGAATCCGTAATTTCCTTAATAAACTTTCCAGCCTGGTTTAGTAATATATCATTTTTCTATCAATTTACATCCTCTGTTTTGTTAAATAAAAATTCCATTAACAGCACAATGTGGTTTGTTAATACGTCTTGCCATACGTCGTAAATGAGGTGACCTAGAGCTGGGAAAATGCCTTTCGAAAGAGAAGTCCCTGGTAAAATGGATTGTTTGATGTTTACTTTAGGTAGCAACAGACGCGGATGTGATGCCTCAAACCAGAGGCGCTCTGGTGTCATCCAGCCATCGAGCTTCTCCAAATCTGCACCATGGGGGGGCAGCAGAGATCAAGAGAAGTCATCTGATTCTTTTCAGCTTGGAGACTCAGCCAGCAGGGAGGTAGTCTCTCAGAACACATTCGCATCACTTAGCGCTGATGAGCAGAAAGATGAAAAGAAACTTTTGTAAGTGAAAATCTTTGGGAAAATAACAACCTGCTTGCTTATTTTTATCGAGAGCACTTACAGTATTTCCTTTAAAAAAGAAATGATGTGTTATTAAAATGAGAGGAGGAAAAGGCGACCTTTGGTCAAGAAACCCTCGCTTAGCTTATGTCATCCCAGGCTTTATTTCACAAAAAAATAAGCCATCTTTCTCTGTTCAAATTTCTAGCTGTTACTAACACTATAGTGAATATCTTTGAAAGTTTAGTTCTGGTTAACCTATTTAAGTTTACAAATTTAAAATTTTTAAATATGAGCCAAGTTAAAACAATAATTTAAGTAGTCTATCAAATAGAGTTTTAAAATCTTATATACATGTGGACAAAATCTATTGTCTTTCCATTTCATTTTTCCAGATTTTTTTAACAGCCCTCATATTTGTATGATCTATTAACTTCATTTCATTAGATTTATTATTGAGGAGTACCTTGACTATAGTGCAGTTAAAGCATATCTGTAGTTCTTTAGCCTTCAGTGCAAGAGAGGAGTTTGTGGTGCAGTGCTTAAGCTGTCCGCTGCAAACTGGAAGATTAAAGAACACTGATCTCACCTGCCACTTTGAGAGAGAGATTTACAGCCTTGGGGAACAATTCCACTCTGTTCCTCCTTTTTCTCACCATTAGCTGTGATAGAACCTGTTTGAAGCCCTTCACTAAAAGGGCAGCTAGTAGTAATTTCGGAGGTCTTAACCCAAGGATTGTTGGAATTGGAAAAGAAGGAACAATCAAAGCTTCCTGTTTTTGTTGCAATTCTAAATATAGCACAGTAGTCTCTCTTTGACTGAATGATCTATGATCCTGTTAATTGTAGCTCGCTGGTAGCAGTGTAGTTACCCATTGGACTGCTAACAGTGTGGTCAGCAGTTCAAAGCCTGAAACCAACAGCTGCTCTGCCAGAGAAAGATGGGACTTTCTACTCTCGAAGTTAGTCTCGGAAACCCACAGAGGCAGTTGTACCCTGTCTTATAGGATTGCTATGAGTCTAAATTGGCAGTGAGTTGATTTTGTTGTAGAGGGTGAAAAGTATAATTGAATCAATTCTATGGCTGTGCAACAAGAGTTATATATATATATATATATATATTGATGCGAGTCTCCTATCATAAAAACTAAAAATTGCGTGAAATGATCTGAGGTATTTACTCACATTGAAATTGTATGATTCTGAAGATGGTATTTTTATTAACTTCAGTTCTTTAAAAATGTATGCCATTGCTTGATCTCATTAAATACATTAGTTAATTCAAAAACCAAACTCGTTGCTAGTCATTGGTGACTCATACCAATCCCCTGTGTGTTTCTGAGACTGTTAAAAGGAGTAGAAAACTCAGTTGCTGGTGGTTTTGAACTGCCGACAATGCAGATTGTAGCCCAGTGCATAACCACTACACTGCTAGGACTCCTGGTTAGTAATTTAGTGTAAGAAAATAAGACCAGGCACCTCCGTGGCATAATGTTTATAACCTGGAAATTTCGTTGATATGCCTGTAAGCAATTTAAAAGCAATTCCGAAATTACCGTATATATTCGTGTATAAGCCGAGTTTTCCAGCACATTTAAATGCAGTTTTGTGGTAAAATTAGGTGCCTCGGCTGATAATCAGGTCGGCTTATATTTGAGTGTATATGGTATAATGGGGGGGAAATTAAAGACTTCTGTGTTTCCTAGAATTTAAATTTTTTTTAATGAGAATCATAAATTCTAACAAAGATGAGAAAAATCCTTTACTCTTTTCTTCTCCACCTCCAGGGAAGGAATTGTGAAAGATATGGAAGTTTGTGAATCTTCAGGACAGTGGAAGTTTTCTGTTTATTCTCCAATGAAAGATAAACCTAACATTTCAGGTAATTGGGAAACCATATTTAAAACATTCTAAAACTATTACTTTATAAAACTAAGAAAAATCTCCATCGCACATACCCTCCCATAAAAGCCAAGTTGGCTACAATTCGTATCTGTTTCTTCTAGCAGAACTGTGTATTTGGGGTTTGAGATTGGAGGCTGTTTTTTAAGGTTTGTAGTTCTGATGAGAAAATAAAAATTAGGAGCCACCACAATCCTAATTCTACAAACCCAAGAAGAGGTTCTGTATTGTTGACTCCCCAGACATGCAGCTTCAAAACATCTGAGCTGCCCCAGTGAAAAGAAGAGTCACATTCTGTTTGCCACCAAGGCTTGGCCATCGGGCTATGTTCCCTTTCTTTGTAAGAATAGCCCTTTTTCAAAAGGTAGTATATGTGCCCTGTCTCAGGTGTTTTTGAAGATGAACCTTAGCTGGGTTACATATAGTTTGTATTTTAATTACACCTTTAATTGCTATTTCCACTTTGATTAGGGTCGTAGAGACTGGGTAGGTCGGTAGTTAAACCCATCAGCTGCTTTGCAGGAGAAAGAGGAGACTGCTCCTAGGAAGATCATCCTTGATACTCTACTTCATGTAATGATCACTGGCGATAAGGGTGCTACAGCAAAATGTGAAGAAAGCAGATGGTGCATGGCTATCAGTCAGCCGCAATAGTGTCCGGGGTTAAAGGCTTGTATTCAAACAAGCAGACACCTAAGTGAGGAGTCAACTGAGTCCACATGAAAGAAGCACACCAGCTTAAAATCCATATATGAAGGGAAGACTAGCACAGCTTGAAATTGTGAATGCCCAATTTGTAAAAGCCTCTGGCAGATCCCCTCTAGCCAGGGTCTCAACAGCTTTACCATGAGCTAGAGATCATTGTAAACTTGATTATGCTAGATTGAACTTGATATTGGGTCAGTTGACCACCCTCTTGACCCAACCTGAATTTGTTCTAGGCACAGGTATTTCTTGTTCCATGACAGAAATTTCTTTCTGACTTTTTAAATGTTGATGGTGCTCTTTTTAATCCTTATATTATTATTTTGTCTTTACCACATTTTGTTTTTGTTTCTTAATGTTTCTGTGGGGTTTCCCAGGCTTTGAAACACGGGTGGATGCATAGAGCTAATAACTGATGGAAGGGTTTGTAGGGCTGGGGGGTGGGAGATATGGAGGAGGAGAGAGTTGTGTAGGGAGCATTGAGTTAATGTCAATGGTGATGAAATAATATGGAAATGGATATAAATAGTGGCTGTACAGCACATAGTGTAAATCAGGAACACTGAATTAGACAAGTAGAAGTTGGAGAATGTTCTGTTGTGTATAGTTTTGCCACAATTAGAAAAGAAAAATTACATGGATAACAATGACTACAAGGAAAGAAAAAGTATTATAGAATATGATGACAACTCTTAAGACGTGGATAAAGTACTATTTAACTATAGTCTGGCCCTCCAATGTGTCTGAGGGACAGCGAACTGGGCCCGTTTTAAAAGTTTGAGGACCCCTGGCTTAGAGAATGATTCCCTTTCCTCTGCTGTTCTCGGTGTTGTCATTTTATGAATGAAAGTGGGAATAGTAACCACTGTTGTACCCACAAGCTGATGCCCACTCAGTGACCCTATAGAACAGAATAGGATTTATAATTTATCCTTAGGCTTGACTTGTTTTGCTCAGCTTTTAATGTCTTCCGAGTTTACTCAGGCTGCAGGATTATTGTATGTGTGTGCCACAACGTGCTTTTCCACCATTGGTAATATACTTATTTCCATCTGTTTGCTATTGTGAATACAATCGTAGTGAATATAGGTGTGCATAGGAGTATATATATGTATATTCATGACTCCTGTTTGATTTCAAACGTGTGGTGTGCAATGAATAGGTCTGGTGGATAGTTTTTGCTTGTTTTTGTTTTTCATTTTTTGAGAGGCAGCCATACTATTTTTCACAGCAGCTAAATCTTTTAATTTTCTGCCTACCAGTGGATGGATGGATAGGTTCAGGTTTGCCCATATACTCAGCAACACTGGTTGTTTTCTGAGTTTGGGTCAGCAAAGTGGTGTCTTTGTGGTACTGATTTGAATTTCTAATGACTAAGGAAAGGAGCCCTGGGAGCAAAGTAGTGAAAGTGTTAGCCAAAAGTTGTTGGTGTGAACCCACCAGCTGCTCCTCGGGGCAAAGAAGTGGTAGCCTTCTTCTGTAAAGATTGTGGGGCAGTCTGCTCTGCCTCAAAGTCAGTCAGTATGAGTTAGAGTAGACCTCATGGCAGGTTGGGTTTGCTGATGGAGCCCTGGTGGCACAGTGGATAAGAGTTCTGCTGACTGAAAGGTCAGTGGTTCCAACTGACCCGTCCAAGGGATACAAGGCCTGGAGGCCTGTCTTAGCCTAGGAAAAACATATGGGACAATCCTGCTGAGTCACTAGGAGTCTAAATCAATTCAAACCCAAAACTGACTGTCCTTGAGCTGGCATGAACAACACTAAATAATTTGTTTTCTGCTGCTTGTGCATTTGAGGAACTCTGCTAGTCTGGTGGGCTATGAATTGAGCTATTACTCTGTTTACCCAAAAATAAGACCTACTTACAGTTGTGCCTCTCACTGAAACATAAGCTGCCGCCCCCCCC